TTCGCTTAAAATCGGCTAGAGTCAGAAAAAAGGTCATCAGCGTGAATCGCCAAAAATGAATAATACTATTTTTCTCAAGGTCGACATACATTTTTCAGAATGGAATCGAAAAAAAAGCAAAGTTTATTCTTCTATTTATATCGCTGAATAGAAGATTCTATTTTGAAAATATTCTAAACACCCACACCATACAAGATTTATTAGCGCAAATCCTTTTAGGCATTGTATAGTCTGTAGAACATAATTTTTCTTCGCTAGATCAAATCAATGATTAAGAAAAAAAAAGACTTTTATTTCCCATTACCATAATTCGTCGGTCACTATACTGTTCAGCCATGTGCATTGTACGTTGTTCATCAGCCAAATCATAAATATCTATAAAATTTAACGAATAGAAAAAAAAGACTTTCAAACTCAAGAAAAATTTCAAACATGATTTCCACTGTTCAAATGCCCATCGCATTAAAACTCTTTCTTGCAATTGAGCTAGACGATGTTCATGTTGTTGTATTAAGAATTTTCTTGTTAATGCTTGTTTCCATTTAGAATAAATTCTTCCAACTAAACATCTTTGATAATAATCATGAACACGTTCTAATTAAAATTCAATACAATATTTCAAAAGAAAGAAAATTTTTTTCATACTTTTATGAATATTTTTTCTTCGTCGATATTCTGTATATGTTAACCATGCATTAAAACAAACTCTTTGTAAATGAATACGATAATGATAATTAGATCGTAAACTTTTTTCATGTTCTTGTCGTCGTTGATATGTATTTATTTGCCATATATGATAAAACTATTTAAAAAAATAAATATAATTAAAGACCTTCCTTTCTTCTACATAATTGATTTTCAATACAGCGCATGAAATTTTCATAAAAGTTTCTGACGATGTTTAGATAATGAAAGTACACTATTAAAAATTTTTTTCCGATTGGTCATAGCAAATATTGTAACTAGTAACAGCCGATAACGGTCGTTATAGGTTTTTTCGAGTTTTCGCATATCGAGCCAGTTTTACTGATATTAATGATTATTTGTATTAAGTGAATATTCATCAAAATGCACCTAATATATTTCTCAATTCACTTCGATTTCAAGTTATATTATTGCAACAAAATGGAATCGCTATTCGTCATTATAATTTATTATATAATTATTTTTATTTCATATTATTTGTACCATAGCTTTTACAGAGACAAAAGAGATAAGAAAGCAAATCTATTGTGAAATACTAGATACATCTACAGTTCATTCAGTATTTCTGTCTGGCGAACAATTCATCTGTATACAAAGTTGATATAGAATTTGTAGTCTCCTGAATTTTACATCTATCAATAGATCCCAAAAGAGGAAAAACTTATAGAAATAGTTTTAGTTTTTTGAACGAAGCTGGAAAAGATACGATCAAATTTTTTCTCCCCATCTGATTCAACGCTCATTGATAATCATGTTTCACAAAAGCACTATAATAGTGAAACAGAAGTGTTATGTAATTTCTGTAGTGATTCAGAGATAGGTATGACTTATCAAAGGGTCAGTTTGACTCTTATAGGATGAGAAATTTAAAAAATGACTCATGCCGATCTGATCGACATTACTAAAGATAAAATCCTACCGATTGTAATACTGAACTATAGTGGAAAATAGTTCTTTCATACGTACAAATAACTATAACATTCGAGTTACTTTTATTTCAAAGAGAACTTCTTACTACTTCTTTAAAATCTTAAAACTCTACAGAACTTTTCAAAGGCATCTTAAAAAATCACTAGGCCTGCTTATGATTTCAGTTTAATTTTGTTTGATTCGACTGAAATTGTTCTGAAGGTATCTAAGAACTTGATTTTTAAATGTTTTCCTCCATTATTTTCGATAATCTAACAGTAGTACAAATTTAAGCCTGATCTGTTGTACTCTCGCAGATAGCCGAAAGTGGCGCGACATAGAGGAAAGATATCTTTAAAGCAAAAAATAAATTTTCATAAAAAAACATACACGAAATAAAACTCTTCGATGATATTGTCTATAAGCAATAATAAATTGTTGTTGATGTAAACGTCGTTTATTTAATTGCATTTTCCAAATATTCCAAGCATGTTGAATACGTTTATGATTAATATGTTCGATAGCTATTTGATCTTGTGAAGTAAAATTTAACCATATATAAAAATAAGTTTTTAATAATTGTCGATGATAAAATGCAATAGCTATTAATTCCTTTGGATTATTTTCTATAATATTCTTCCATAATTGAAAATATTTTTTAAGCAATTTTTGTTCATAAAAAAATTTTATTCGACGAAGATGACAACCAAAAATTTTCGTTTGCCATAATATTGAAAATTTTCTTGCTAAACAATACCAACGTAAATCATCAAGTGAACGATGTTGTGGCTTTTTATAAATAACAATTGTCGGTGAAGGTGAACGATAACGAGTTGAAACAGGTATACGACTAGGTCGTTTAAGAGCTGTTTGTTGTTCTATAAAAACAAATTAATAAATACATAAATAAAAATATTTTTCAAATTTTTAACCTTCTTTTAAATGATTTAAATGTGCACTAGCATGATTAAATGTTCTTGCTACTTGTGTCATATTTCGACGAATATTTTCAGCTTTAATTTTCATAAATTGATGAAGTTCATCAAGTGTTTTTGTTTGTGGAAGAATTTTTTCACCAATTATTTGTAAATTATCTCGTCTTGTTGTTGGAATATATTCAATATGATTATTTAAATGTTGCATATGAGATTGATTTGTTATATGATCAATATTGATCGTTGTAGAAGGAATTGTATAAGATACATTTAATGGATGAGAATGATGATTTAATTCATTTGGATTTGTTAATTTAGGAATTCGTGGTGATGGTGATGTTATGTTAAAACGAACGGATTTTTTTCGTGGAGTTATAGATATTAATGGTCGAGAAGAATTTTGTTGAGGATCATGCATGATTTTATTATTGATTAGTTAAAATGATTAACAAAGAAGGAACTACAAATTTAATCCATCGATCACTCTCCGGAATGGTAACCTAGAAACACATTGACCATCGAGATGTATGTTGAAAGATGTCGTTGGTCTCATTCAGTTCTACAACATTTTTTATTATGAGAAAAAAGTCTTAATTGATGAATTCATACGTTTTATTTCTCGTTTAGCAAGTTATGAAATTTTTGAAATTAACTATACAGGAAAATTAAACATTGTAATATTTTTTATATTTTAAAAATCCAAATTATAATTGACTAGTAATTGTACTAATCTGTAAATTAACTAATATCGGATCTAATTGAACAAGTTAATTCATTTTTCAATGATAATTCTTATATAATAGTCGAAACATTGCAATTGAAAATTGGTCAAGAAGATAATATTATTGACCAAATAATCTAAAGTTCATGTGAACTATGTGGTTATTGATTAAAATAAATCATGAGTTATCCATATAAGACTTCCAAAAAAGAGAAAAGAAGAGAGGGAAAACGGGTAAATTGTGTGGTTGTGAGTAAAGAGAAAATCATAATACTCATATCACATACTCTAGATTTCGACAATTTTACTTTTGATATTAGTAGGATAAATTGTGGCAGCTAAAGATGGACAACTTTGAATGAAAAGGTCAGACACATACGGCAACTCGAGTTAATTTTCGCATTGTTTCAGCATTCTATAACAAAAAAATTTTGAAATTGGACGTTCAGAAAGAGAAGAGAAGATCGGTCAAATTGGATGAATCTCGGCTGGAGGTTCAAACAAGCCGATTTTCAACTGGCCATCTTTTACAGATGACCTTTAACAAGGTTTATATGTATATATATGGAATAGCCAATTGACATTCGAATAGTTTCTTAAAAGACAAGTTATGTACTCTAACATATGTTTTCAGTATGACATGGTTTTTTTTAACTTGATGAGTCTAACAATCCCTCCAACAACATGTATTTTCCATCTAATTATTCTTCTCCAATTAAAATTATTAATTCAACTGATTAAAACTATCGCATAATATATCTAATGACGGATTTAACGTATTTTTTTGCTATGATGTAAATATGACATGCTTTTGTGTTGTAAAACGATTAGTGCTAATGACGTCATGTTGCACTGCGTGCGATTGTTTCTATACTACACAGGTAGATCTTGGATCGTATATAAATACACTGTCAAATAATTTTCTTCGAACAATGTTAATAGGCCTTAATTTATTTCGCCAATCGATGATCGATAACAGTAGTCTATAGCTATTATCATAAATGTATTATATTTTAATCATTACTATCGTTCATAGAACTTTTGTTTCGTCTTGAATTGTGATCTTCCAGAATTATTGTACATGAAAATAGTATTTTCTTTTTTCTCAATTTATGCTCTTGGTTACACAGATAACTCTGAAGAAAAGTTTTTTATTCAAATTTTATTCTATCTTGATATTTTTTTTTCTCAAGACTTATTGTTTTCAAATTGATGACTATTTACAATGTTGTTTCCTTTTTATTATGCGTGCAATTCTAATTGTGCCGTCATTATGTTTCTGATTGCATGACATTTTACGACGTCCGAGAAAATATTTTTTTCAAATTCTTTTATTTTTTCTTTTGAAAAGCTTCCTTCACTTAGTCGATGGCATCAAGTTTATGTAACCAGTAGAAATTTCTTGTTTCTATTTATTTTTCTTTATTTAGAACATTCGACTACGATTATTTTCTAATCAATTGAAGAAAAAAACCGAGTCTTATTGATGTATTACCACAAATTAACATTAGGAAAGAAAAATAATCCTTGTTATATAGATCTTTACGAAATCTGATCGATGTTTATTCAATCATGAGAAACGTGACGAAGTACTACTCGTTAAATATTGACAACCATTAGTTAACAACATCTGCGGAAAGGTCAAAAAAAAAATATTGCTACAGAGCGATAATTACAGATTTATATTCTTCCTTTCGTCTTCATTATTAATCATTGGTATAAAAAATGAAATGAAATTAACATTCAACAGTGTCACGATTCTACCCTGTACGGTGCTACTATTTGTTATTATTCAACCAAGCTATCAATATGTTTATTCATGTAATTCAACTGTAGCATGTGGATGTTCATCTAATGCAGCATCAGTTACTCGAATTGTTGGTGGAGAATCAGCAGGAACAAGTACTTGGGGTTGGGCTGTGTCTATTTCCATCAGTGGTACTTCATTATGTGGTGGAGCTATCTTGTCAAGTTCATGGATTATTACAGCAGCACATTGTGTAAATGGAATCTCACCATCACAAGTATATGTCTATGCTGGTTCGAACACTCGGTTTTCTGGTCAATCTCGAGTTGCATCTAGTATTACTGTACATTCAAGTTATGTCAGTAGCACTAAGCTAAATGATATTGCACTAATACGACTTGGTACTGCACTAACAATGTCAAGTTCGACAGTGAGCAAGATCTGTATACCATCGGTAAGCTCAACTACATTATCTGCTGGTGAGTGGCCATCAGCTGGTTTAGCTGTAAGTTGATTATCTTTGTTTTTCTTTGAAATCAATTATCAGTGTGATATGATAGGTTGTGGCTGTAGGATGGGGTAGATTATCGGAAGGTGGTTCATTGCCATCAACTCTTCAACAAGTAACTGTTAAAACAATTGACTATCGTTACTCTACTTGTAGTTCTGTATTAAATAACCGACAAGTGCAATTTTGTGCTGGTATTTCTGGTGGTGGTAAAGGTAATTTATATTCCATCTCTTTCCTTTTCTTTACTATGAAATTTTGTTTTATTTTTCTAGATACATGTCAAGGTGATTCTGGTGGTCCTATAATGATGTTTACAACAAGTAATCAATGGGTATTAGTTGGTGTGACTAGTTATGGTATTGGATGTGCACGAGCGTCTTATGCCGGTGTTTATACTCGTGTAGCTTATTATCAAGATTGGATAAGAATAACAACGAGTGGTGCATATACAAATGCTACTTCGTCGATCTCAGCAGGAATAGATCCTCCTACATCAACTGCTTCACTAAGAACTGTCCATCTATCATCTATTTTTCATTCATTATTTCATCTTTGTTCATTCGTTCTCATCAAAATTTATCTATTATAATATAAATTTCACAAGAACTAAAGAAAATGTGATATTTTTGTAATATTTTCTGCATTATTATATAAAAGAAGTATTTTGTTTTTTATTTTAACATAAAGCAAAACTGTTAAAATGTTTTTTAAAGTTGCATATTTAACAGCATATTTCATTGATCAGTCTAATATTATGGATACTTTGTGCATATTGTTTACAGACTTGATGTAAGTAGTCTAGAAAATCGTAAATCAGCATCAATTTTCGTTGTAAGTTTTCACACGTCATTACTATGATCTACTGCTTAGCAGATGGTCTACAAAAAACAACTAGATTACATTCGACTTTCACTCGATTGCTAAATCCGATGCGAAGCTACGAATGTTGCTTATCGAACAAACCGATATCTTATGAAAAATATACATTCATTTCTATGATTATTCGCAAAATTCTTTTCCCACTAGACGCTTGCACTTGACAACAACGAATTTCATTCATGTTACTCTAATCGAAAACTCAAAAGTATGCACGTTTCGACTCATTCACAGGTCGAAATAGGAAATAAATTGAAAAGTAGACATGACAACATTCTTCATTAGAGAAAACCTGCTTAAAACTTTAGAAAAAAAAACACTTTTCAAGCTCTGTTTTTAGTAAAAAGTCAAGAAATTCCACAAAATATTCGTTCCAAAACTGTGCATATTGAGAAGCAATATGTACGAGATAAAGTTTGATGAAATCAACCGATTTGTATAAAATTCAACATTGTTCATGGCAAGGATAGACGTCCAGCTAGGTAAAAATAGCCGGGATTGAAGATTACACTATATCTCATCACCAAATATTCTTTCCAATAGTTCTACTAGTTGAGAAATCGTCTGTAACAGATAACAATCGATAAGATCCATCGGCAGGTTGAAAGTCTAGGTGAACGAAGGTTGGTGTTACTGAGAACTTCAAAACATATCATCACCGAATCTTTCATCTCGCTGTTATATCAATAGAAAACTCATCTGTACCACATGGCAATCAATACGTACTATCATGTCACGACCAATTATTCGTACCAAGAGTTGAACCAACTGAGAAACGGTGTAGATGTCAGTGTCCATTTCATTCTAACATCAACATATTTACCCAGACATTCATACCCATCTCCAGAATACGTACATCCACATTTATCCAGCCATCTACAGCCATACTTTTTCATACTCATCCATGCCCTAGTCTCACTCGCAGCCACACGCATTCACGCGAACACAGACACTTCAACATCAACACTCTGGCAGGCTCCTCCAGACTTTCTAGATGAATAAACAGGATTGAGATTAAGGAAAGAGTATTGTAAATAGAAATAGAACAGTGCACATTTTTGTTTAAAAGTATAGTTAAGTCTTATTTCGGCAAGCATTTTCTTCTTTCGTCTCAGTTGAGAGTTCTGTATCATACGATGATAATAAAAGTATATGTTGATGATTGTTATTGTTGCCAAGATTTCTGTCTTTTAAAGTGAAAATCCATCAATTTTGGCATAGGGCACAAAGTGCATTTTCTTACATCCATGTTCTTACATTATTTTCAAGGAAAACTAAATGAACTATCATCATCGATTTGTTTTGAAAAACGAGACATAATGCCTATGATATTCTTCTATGATTTCGCTCTTATGTCATTGTAATCTATATCTTGTTGCAAAATTAGTTCATTTTTACATTAATATGTTTCGATTATTTCCCCATGTTTAGGTAAAAGTAACACATAATAGTTTGAATCAACATATCGTAAATTAAATTCTCTTTATAAAGAAAGAACTATGACACGGTTTTCGTCCAATCAATGCAAAACAGACATACACTTAGCTAGTAGTATGGACTCTCTAACAACTTTATCAAACAGAAAGTAAATTAAATCCATTATATTCATGCATAGTCACAACAATTTAAAATGCTTTTAAAATACGAAACTGACAAATACATTTTAAATTCTAATTAGCAATCATCGATAATAACGAAAGTTTTGAAACATGGCAGCAATATCTCAATCTAATCCCTGTTGCTTGTAAAACTCGTTTTTCTTTCTCAGTTATTTCATGATCATGAGTCTACTGTCGACGTCAAAATGCAATGCACCTGAATATCAATAACTACTTATTGATAATTGAAAGAAAAGAAATATAAACTTTCAACAGTATGAACTCGTAGGTGTTCATTGAAGTTATTGAAAGTTAATTTATGAAAATAATCATAATGAAATTTCACGAGCTTAAAATCAAACACTTTTAGATTCAAATCGTTACTTAAAGGAATTGACTTTTATGAAATCAATTTATATATTAAAAAGTTCTAGTATAATATTAATGCTCTATTTTGTACTGTAGTGTTAGAATCTTTTTTTATTTCTTGGAATTAGTGTGCAGTCAGATATTCTTTCTGCGAAAATAGAATATTGTACTTATCGATGTTGTGTCCTTAATTCTCTACGTAGTGACACACGGTAAAATATACAATAAAAGATAAGAGTAAATATGAATTTTGATTCCAAAAGTTGTTATTGATATAGATATGATTGTACTTCTTTAGGAACATATTTATCTCATCATTGACTCATGTTTATTTAATAATTGTTAAGATAAACTTTAAAAAAGGATCTTTATCTAAAGAAATCATGAAAATCCTTAGATTCAGTTTTTATTCATGACACTTGATATTTTTCTCGTAGTATTAATGACCGAAGAATGTGCTTGCAGCAAGACTTTACTATTGACTTTACTTCGAAATATTCTTAATAATCAACATTGTTTAAAAAAAAAAGGTATTCCTTTGAATACATAAATATAATTTCGCAAAATACTTATGAAAACTTCTATCAATCGTTTACTTTACATTGTTATTCTTCTGAATACAATTATGGAGAACGATGCTAACATCATGGGAATATAGAGCAATGAATTTTTCTGTATGTTCTCTATTATTGAAACCATTACTTGTCAAATTGACTTACTTAAATATTCACAAAAACTATTGTTCTATGTTCACACAAATTAAAAATTGCAATACGGATAAATAAATAGATGTTGGTCTTATGGAGTTTACATAGGTATGAAAATTTGTTTTCAAAAAGAAAATCGATAGATTTCTATAGAATGAAATGCTCAATATAATGTAATTAACATTAAAAATTAAAATACTTTCCTGAATATGTCAAACATAGAAAAAACATTAGCTATTCATGATGAGTTACTTATTTCTAATAGCTATAATCACAGAAGAGACACTTATCTCATCCGTGAAAACTGGTCAATTTTTTTCTCTTTAGCTTTAATAACAATTACGAATTCCTTCGTATAAACTTAGTGGAATTTAATACATTTAGATATCTAAGGTATTCTGCATGTTTCTATTTTTATTTTTATTTTTTGCATCGACACAAAATGTGAGTCAATAGTTGTTATGATTATATCTATGTAACAACACTTGAAGAATCCTATTCCTAGATTTGCATTGTTTCTCTTTCACACTATGTATTGATGATAAGTAAATAATGAATTGAAAGCATCGTGTACTAACAGAGAAAGATAAAGGTATGTAAATCTTGTTTTAGATATGATATATGTTTGTTATTAAATGGCAGTTAAGTAAAAATTCAACTAATGCTTATCTTTATAATAGATAAAAAAAACAACACATTCATATTATATATTCATTTTAACTGATTGTAAAGGATCTATCTAAGTTTTTTTTTATTACTACAGAATATTTATAGTTAAGCTGGAAGTATATCAGATAAATTCCAATAGGAAAAAATGAATGAAATTTCAAATAGTATATTCTTATATTTGTGTTTTTATTAAGCGAATGTGATAACGTATTTCAATCTATAGTTAATGATTTCAATTTGAAATACTAACTTCTATTTCATTCTATGATTTTGAAAATAATTTATATGTACTTTGAACCAAAGAAACACTTATTTCACTATTGACTATAATTAATCGATAGAGTTTGAAATATTTTAATCTATATCTAATTTCATTCGAAATCATTTTAGTAAAACAAATTCAACTAAATGATTTCAAAAAAATTTATTTTGTCTGCTTTTTGTTCTTGAATTAGATTATTGAATTTGCAGAAAAAAAAACCAGAAAAATGATTAGCATTCCTGTGAACATCAATACCGTTTATATACCAATTGTTCGAAGTAAGTAATAGATTTTTTTAACGTTGGTAATGTTTCTATTTGTTTTCATTTCTTAGTTGGATGTTTTAAAGCAGAATTCGATTCAACATACCCAATTCATTTAAATGGTATAATTAGTCCACATGAATTTCAAGAATCAATTAATAAAATAAATCTTAGACTAACTTCAAATAAAAAACTTTCAACTATTTGTTCGATTATGTTCGCTCTGATATTTGTATTTGGATTACTAAGCGGTGTTGTTGGTGCAATAATACACAGAAAGTCTTATACAGCTTTTGGTGTATTACTTGTTTTTGGAGTATTTTTGATGGTTTTTGGAGGAATAATTTATGTTATAGGAATTTTTTTTATACATCCAAAACGGTCAGCACAATTAAAACAGGCCATTGCTGAAGAATCAATGAGATATTCATCAAGATCACCAACACCATGTAGCTGGAGAATAGATACTTCAAGAAGTCGGCTTGAAGGACATGCAAATCATCATAATAGTAAACAAATACTTTGTCAGGTAGTTCTTTTTTTCATTAACAACATCATTTTTTTCTAAGAATATCAGTTCGAACTAAAAAATAGTCAATAAAAAAAATATCGATGTTTAATATGTTTCCGACCTATGAAGATTAATTTTGATTAAATATATTTTGATATATTTCTCTTGTTCTTCTTTAGTTAGCAATAGATATTGATTGTTCTGATCAACAAGAAAATGTTAATCGAATACATTATTCGAATAAAGCTGCTCCTGAATCAACAGAATTCGTGCCACCAGAAGATAGTGACGCACCTCCACCATATTCTGTTTAATTCGCAAGTTTTTGTTCTCGAATTGGTATAGCATAACAAAATATTTGCAGCGGAACTTTGCTCATCACGCGATTATTTATTTCATAATATTAAATCTTTATGTTTCTCTTAATGCTTGCAGACGAATAATTAAATGATTATTTCTTCTGCATAGAGCATGTACTTTATATTATTGATTAACCTTGTTTTTTATACATAACAGAGATTATTGTTATTATAAATCTAAGAAATATTCAAGCCTATTCAAAAGGATTTAAATTAACTGAGGCATAATGTTTCAAATGGACAAGTTTTGTTCTATTTCAGTGAAAGCTTAATCATAAAATTAGTTGATAAAGTGAAAAATTATTTTCATTCTTAGATGTAAAACAAGAGCACTTTCCTAGCTACATGAATTTTATAGTGTGGATGAATAGAAAACTCTTATATCCACAGTGGATCTTGTTGTATCATCGTAGGAACTTTACCAACTGTTTTAACCATATTCAAAATTTCTTATGCGTCGTGTAACATGTAAAGCTACTTTTTTCAGAAGTTTTTATTTATGCATCATTAGCATATAGTACCTTTATAAATGATAAACGAGTAGGCATCGGCAAAACCAACTTTTTTTGATCCCGGTCCTGGCCTCAATTAAAATTTTTTATTGCTTCTAGTCCTAATTTCGTTTCTAAAAAAAACCACATTATTTTTAATCATCCGTATGATTCTTAGAATATATATAAAATTAACATTGATGACTTCGAGAAATTATTAGTATGAGCATATCTTTATATGCATGAATCAAAACTAAAATACAAAATCAGTTCTTTGTTTCACTCAAGATTTTTCTTGGTTCTGGCTGTGTGACTTAGGAAATTCTTTCAGAACTGATACTTCTTGCATAGATACAAAGTCTAAATGAGTGAGCTTTAATTGTTGTTTCCTCAAAAGTCACTTTGATAATATCAAAAATTTAGGATCTGCCGAACTATGAGTACTATTCTTAGTAGCGACTTTCAAGATGGTGCCGGTTCTAGTTCTGAATCGGAACAAATATTTTTGCACATCCATAATTTTATCTCATTCATAAATAAAAATGGTTAACTGGTCGATCATTAGTCAAAACAAAATAATAAGTATGAACACGTGTTGCCTAGTTCTTGAGCAGAAAATATAATGAAACCAGTTTTAGCACGTTTAAAGTCTCGGCTTCGTTAAAATTAAAATTTGGTGTCAATTATGATCACGAAGAGTCCAGGATTGAGATTACTTTGCAGTTCTCTATAAACGCTTCCAACGTTTGTCAGTATTTTCAAATTGCTATGCAATTATTCAAAATTGTTTAAGTTTGTTTTATTTGTTCTTCTCATCTGTTTCTGGAATGTCTTAAATTCTGATGCTGAAAATCACTATCATCCGTCCATGAATACAATCTGTACATATAGTAAAGATTTTCTTTTTCACATCTCTGACTCGTCTGATCGTAAAGCCATTAAAAGAGTATTTTTCACATTTGTTTGATGTGAACATTTTATCTGTTGAGAATATATAGCACGAAGATCCTGTAATACTTTAATTTGAATACCAAAAAAAAAAATTTAAATTTCACTATTTTATTTTGTTCTCATTCTTCTTTTCAATATGTTCTTCATCTTGTTCTGGGAATAGTAATGGTTCTATATCATAAACAAAAACTTTATTTGCATTTTAAAAATATTTTATATAGTAGTAGAGATTTCTTTAGGAATTTGAATTTTCAAACTGCAGATTATTTACAATTTTATTGCACTCTTATGATTCATCGGATTTTAATCGTGCCATAGTCATCTTTTTATTTCATGACATTTTATTATGTTGAAGAAAATATTATTACCAACTTGATTTGTTTTCATTTTTAACAGACTTCCTTCTTTGAGCGAATGCCATCAAGTCTGTATAGCAAGGTATTTTTTCTCGTTTGATGTACTTTTGTTTTTTATTTAGTACATTTGACTACGATCATTTTCAATCAATTAATGAACAAAAAAAAAGTCTTATTGGTACTTTCTTTTTCTGCTATTGCATATGCGATAAATTATAATTAATACAGAAAAAAAACTTCTTGTAGAGAGACATAAGAGGCTTGATCGATATTTACTAAATCATGAAAAACATGACGAAGTACTACTTGTTAAATATTGACAACTATTAGTTAACAACATCTGCGGAAAGGTCAAAAAAAATGTTGTTACAGAGCAATAATCACAGATTTATATTCATCCTTTCGTCTTCATTATTAATCATTGGTATAAAGAAAGAAATGAAATTAACATTCAGCAG